TGTTGGCGATCAGTGTATATCACTGATGATGACCATACTCATTGGTGATAAAGTTCATTTTTGGTATATCTCTGGCTTCAGCAAATTTCAGGATCCTAACTCAACGATTACGAAAAATACGGGGGTGTTTCCATGAAAAGTGAGAAACAAATTAAATTTTCAGAACTGAAAGTTTTCCGGGAAATATATGAATAGTTAGTGAATTGGGCGTCCTGATTCTGAATCCGAAGTGATTTACAACCTATTTCGACTCCTAATATCATTTTCCGGAAATCGTTGTGGTTCCATGGCTGTTGGCGACCAATGTATATCAATGGAGATGACCTCACACGGCCATAGAGTGCATTTTTGGTATGTCTCTCGCTCCCAGCAAATTTTAGGATCTCAACCCAACGAATACGTGAGATACAGGGGTGTTTCCATTATAAGTGAGACACACTGTGTTTTGTTATTTCATATATTTCATTCATTGCATTCGAATGATATCATGAAATTCATCGAAATCGACTATAAAAAAATATGCAAGTCGTCTGGCTGACTCATAAAATAGATATGACAGAAATTTGGCTGTCTATCGGAGAATAGTACGTTTTTTCTTTTCCATCGTTTATATACACCGTGTCCCAGCTAAAATGTCCCCCCCTGTAAAAAATCAAATAAATAAATCCAAGGTATACAGGGTCACACTGAAGTGCACCTAAACTTTTCTATTTGAATAGGGACACCCAGTATATTATTCCATATTCAAGTAGTGTTCATTATTACAAATTCAACAATGCTAGCTTTAATGGGATTATTTCAAACGAATACGAAGATATGACAAAAAATAAAACAATTCAATAAAAAATGTATATGATTAGGTTTTATTAAAATAACACGATTGAAATCGAATGAAAAGAAAATAATTAAAACCTCAACTGCTCAATATGTCGTCCATTCTGCTGCAATCATTTCCTAGCTCTTTTGATAACGTTCATCATTGTGACCCTATGTATCACGTTGCTATCAATTTGTGCGCATAAATTCGTGATTTTCTCTTTCATTTCTTCCATATACACAATTGGCGACTCATAAACCTGTTGCATTTCAAGTAGCCCACAAATGAAAATCAAGTGGGGTGGGGTCTGGCAACCGAGCTGGCCAGTTGCTATCACCATCGAGACAATTGGTGGTTATTAGATTCCAATTATTTTCTTTCCATCCGAATTCAATCGTGTTATATTGATAAAATCTAATCATATAAATGTTTTCTTGAATCGTTTTATTTTTTGCCATATCTTCGTAGTCGTTCGAAAAAATCCCATCAAACCCGGCATTGTTGGATTTGTAATAATGAACTCTACTTGAATGTGGAATAATATACTGGGTGTCCCTATTCAAATAAGAAAGTTGAGGTGCACTTCGGTTTGACCCTGTATACCTACGATTTATTAAATAGCATATTCCGAGTGAGCATCATCAAATATACTGGGTGACCTAATTTCGAGTCATTCGATTGCTCGGTTGATTTTCTACAGGGAGGGGGGACATTTTAGCTGGGACACGGTGTATATCTGTTATAATGATGATCATCATCAATGAAGTATTCCTATTAATGAATTCAACCGCAAATGAATTCCGTACACACAATGTAGTAGCTCAGTTGGAATAGGTTCGATTTGTAACTAGAGGACCGGTGTTCGATTCCCGTGGCGGTCTTATTCTGTTTTATATTATGAATGTATCGGCAGACATGTACTAGCCCTGATGACGTCCAGAGTCTCCTATTGGTACTTGCCGATCAATTTTCACAGGAGTCAAGGGCGTCGCCAGCGGAAAAAATAGGGGGGGGGGCACCATAAAAAAACTGAAGAGAAAAATCAAATAGAAAGAGTTTAATGAGAAAATCAAAAAACAAAAAAAAATCTATACAGTGAATCAGTTGAAAAATAATCTTCTAGGGTTCTTTGGGAATTCGTTGGTCCCTTTTTGACGAAATCGTTCAAGTTTTTGAAAATATGTTGCCTGTGTATACTCATCATTGCGAGGCCATTGAGTCGAGCATCATACATGGTGCTCCTCAACCAGGTTTTGATTCTCCTAAGGCTACTAAATGACCTTTCAACTGTACAAATCTCACAAGGTAAAGGCAACAAGGATCTTCAGAGCCTTCTCAACTTCAGAAGAAACATATACTTCCGGAAGTTCTTTGCTCAAAGTGAGCGTTATCATAAGTAATATCACGATATTCTTAATATTCGAGATAATTCTGTCGCCTCATTGTTCACGAAATTGTGTTGCTGAGCAACACCACGAGTCAGGACGAAAGGTAGGGTTGTACGGCAACACATTAGATTTGACAAGGAAATGAAGAATTATGAGGATATATTCAGAACAGAGTGGAAACTAGTTCACGTTCACGAAGCAAAAAAGCATTTATTTTGAATGAATGATTCATTCTGACAAGTACAGTCATTAGTTGCCAAATTGGCAGACTTCGCTTCGCTACCCATGGTTACATCGTTGAAAACATCTAGTTTTCGCGATAAGCACATGTTTTCTCTGGCTTGTGATTGGTCAGATTATGTGATGAATGAAATAGTCGTTTCAATGATAGCAGGGTGACTGGTGAGCGTTAAACGTAGGGGGGGGGGGCAGCTGCCCCACCCTGCCCCTCTCTGGCGACGCCCTTGACAGGAGTCTTGCCGTTCTGGCCAATAGGCGAGTGGTCTAATTTTATTTCATTTCTCGAATAAAATTATCACTCAAATACCTTCAAATTTCACATTTTTTCATAAATTTTTGGTCGATTTTAAGGTGCTGAAATCACTAATAATGCCATGGTTATTTTCAAACGGCTAGGAATTCACCGCCGATAAAAACTGACGTCACGATTTCGTAAGACATAGCACAGTTGCCATGTGTTGAAATACGATTGGGAACTTCAGAAATAGAGGTTATTCAATAGTTCATTGATTCTCAATTGAGTATTGGTAATATTCCTAATTAGCAATAGAACTCCAACTGTCTCAAAATGTTCCCTCATGATTTGTAACTAATTGCTTTTAATAAATTTGTGTAAATGATAATTATATTGATTCACATTGGAAGACATGTGAATCGGTTAACGTGACAACACGACGCATGACTTATGGGCGTGGTCTTGTCAGTTCTCAGCATTCAGCACAATGTTGCCAAATCTCCAACATCAACATGATATTGTGTTATGGGAAATGAGAAATATTTGGACATGCTGGTTGTTCGAGAAAGTCAAGAATGAAATATAATATCATGGGTTCCTCCTTTTATATTTAGATCAACGACAGGACTCCACAATCTTTTTGATAACTTGATTATAATTGGTCACTTGACAACCTTGTTTCAGGAGAATAATGAAACAGCATAAACGCGTATCACCATATTGCGGCCACGGTAGATCGTTCGAAATGAGCTCTAAAATTCAACAATTTCGAGCAAGGCATAGACTCATTATACACATAAAAAAAGCGTGGGGACTATTGCAAGAATTAATCGATTAATAATCAATATTAAAGAGTAATACTCGGACTATAGTATTCAATATTTATCAGTCAACTCAAACGTTTTCGGCTCTAGGCCATCATCAGGAGGGTATCTGAAAAGTGAATTTTCCTTTATAGGTATCATGTGTGTAAAATATTTGAGTTTGTTAATTCCGGGAAAGAAAATATGTGAATAAAATTGTAAACTCACTTATCAAATAGTCTTACAGAAGATCTGCATTAAAAACAATGGAATTCTATCATTCAGCATTGGTTATTTCATCGGATGTTTTTGGATTTATACAGAATATTTCAAATAGCAATATCAATTAAGATGCTGTTCCCTCTACTTTCGGGAAGAAAAGACATAAAACTAAATAAATTGAGACATGACAGACAGATTGACATGAAACGAAATCGAGAACGAAATGATAGAAGATGATAAATTACAGTGACCACATTTAGTTTTATGTCTCTTCTTCCCGGAAGTAGAGGGACCAGCATCTTAATTGATATTGCTATTTGAAATATTTTGGATAAATCCAAAAACATCCGATGAAATAACCAATGCTGAATGATACAATTCCATTGTTTTCAATGCAGATCTTCTGTAAGACTATTTGACAAGTGAGTTTACAATTTCATTCACATATTTTCTTCTCCGAAATTAACAAACTTTCAACCTCAAATATTTTACACACATGATATCTATAAAGGAAAATTCACATCTCCTGATGATGGCCTAGAGCCGAAAACGTTTGAGTTGACTAATAAATATTGTATACTATAGCCCGAGTATCACTCTTTAATATTGATTATTGAACTAAGTATACACAACCTTTTCTCTAACCAATTAATCTATTTTCCTAATGACACAGTGGAGTAATTGATTGTCAATAATCAATTATCAGTCCACTCGATCATTCTGGCCTGCATATAGTCTGGGCCACCAAAAGGCCGACCAAAATTGTTGGCTGGGCTTGATTGAAGCATCAGTGTAATAACTTCGAGAATAACTTCTTCAAAAAATGATGAGTTTGATAGGTATCTAAATATTTTCTGAACACGAAAAAAAAACTCTAACATCAATGGTTTCACATTGGCTGCTACTGAATCGAATACGAATTGCAGAACAAATAATATTCTCAACCTTTTCGAATGAGTTTGATCAAGAGCAGTCCGATATCTTCAGTTTTAATCATCCAGAGTACTCAAGGTTTTTATCTCGTTTTGCCCAATTCCTGATTTCCTTGAATAATTTACTGACTAGAGTATTCAAAAGATACATGGTGAAAAATCATCTGGTCAGTATAGGCACAGTCAATCTTGTTACACTCACCATTTCTTTCGGCTACTATAGCCAGACTATCATTATGGTAACAAATTGATATGGTAACAATAACTATTAGAATCTGGTTGTGCCCATATTAACCAGAATATTGTTATGGTAACGCACAATTTTCATCGTGTACTTCCATTAGTGAACTGAGTAAAGAAAGTATGAGGCATGGTAAGAATTGGTTATCGTGAGATACTCCCGAAATGAAACATTTCTCATGGTTACTATAGTCTGACTATCACTATGGTTACAAATTGATATGGTAACAGCATCTATCATCATCTGGTTGTGCCCATAGTACCCAGAATATTGTTATGGTAACGGTCATTTTGTATTGTGTACTTTCATTAGTAAACTGAGAAAAGAAAGTGAGAATTGGTTATCGTATGAGATACTCCCGAAATATAACGTATGTCTGTTTTTAATTCTTTGGATCTAAGGGTAGTTCCATTCTTATATAACACTAAAAATTTTTTTCTGTAGTTTTGGAGATTTAGTTCGAATCTTGACTGATCTGATTTTTTTGACCTTTTTATTTCAGTTTACCCGTGTCTGGTATGTGGAAAACTATACAACAGGAAGAATAATCTCAATTACCACTTGAAGTTCCGGTGTGGAGATAAAAGAAAGTTTGGTTGTATCCTATGTGATCATAGATGTAATTCTAAAGGCAATCTCAAAAGTCATTTATTTCATAGGCACAAAATTAATGTGTTCGCTTCTGAAATTATGGAATATTTACTGTAATGAATATAATTTTCTCAACAAAGAAGTCAAACATCCATTGACAACTTCCTCTAAATAATCCAAATCTTCCCAAATTACAGTAATTGCTGTTGATACGATTGTCGATTGAAATAAACTGGGAGTCAATTGAAACGTTAATAGTGAAATTTGGCATCAAGTTTGACTTCTCCTAATTTCTATGATATTGAACGAATTGAATGAATTGCCGCCCAGATTCTGAATGCCTTTTTCATCGTCTTTCGAACCGTTCCTTACAGCTTCTTCTAAATTGATCAGGACCCATGATACAGGGTGAAACAATCACGATGCTCATATTTTATTCGGGCATTTCATAAATAGCAACCATACCTCGAGACGTTTTCGAGTTTTTGCCAAAAACTACTGTGGTTTCCGGAAAAAAAAATTTTTGCATTTTTTTTAAATGGGCTTATTTTAGAGGAGTTCCATAAATGGATGCTTTTATGCATTTCAGGAAAGCGTTGGAGCAGATATGTATAACAGGTTACGCAAAAACAATCAATAATTTATTACTTCGAAGTCTATGATAAAAGTTTTCTACCTCAGTGAGCAGTTAATCAACACATCTCATCAACAAAAACAAACAATGATACATTGTTTCTATAACAGTCAACAGTCAGTCAATCGAAAGTAACCGGTTTCGGCACAACGGACATCATCAGACTGCAGTATCTTGAATACATGATGAAAGTAAAATTATAAAAAATAATTGTCAGATGGAAAAACAAACCTCATTAAGACATAATGAATCATAAGAAGTTGAAACATCATTGGGTGTACCATCAAGGTAGGTCCAGTGGAAATAAGTTCAAAGCGGCTGAAGAGCCAGAAGAAGTTTTATAATTTTCTCATCCAAAATGTTTCTGCAACTATTATTAAATATGAAATTGCTACTTGGGTGGTCGTTGCTGGTGTTTGTGATGTTCGATAGCCTTCCACGAATACAAATAAAGTATTCAAACGGAGTGAGGAATGGTATTTTATCATCCACAATTCGATAATGGTTACTGGTTAGGAATAATACACATTAATGTACACAATTATTGTTGCTCTCAGCAGTTATATTTGTTAGTTGTTCTTTGAAGTTTTTTGGTCGACCTCTACAAGAAGTTACATTCCACGTACTAAATATAGACTATTATTGGAGAATAGTATATTATGTAACCAGTGTTATAAACGTTCTTTTAGTAACGAGTATTTTGAGCACAAGCGGAGCAGAGCAGAGCAAGTGTTTAATGAACGAGTGTCCAGAAGAGTTTATAAACGCGTTACATACTATAATTTTTTTACGAACTTAAAAAATTACATCAAGATACCTGCTATTCCTGCTAACCTACAAAATAATTCGAAAGGAATGGGAATTGAGAACATAATACATGCAACTGCATGCAACCAGCGAGGCACTTATAAGTGATATTGGTTGTAAATGCGTGTTCAATCCATTGCTTACTAACCTTTGTTTCACGTTTATTGTCATGCTTAGCGCAGAATAAATAAATTATTGTTCTCAAAATAGATGCTTCATTTTTACACTTCTTGGAGATATGCAAGTACCAGAACCTTTTCTTCGATTTCACTTTCGTCTACATTTCGCATAAATTTTCAATGAAGAATTCTGATTCAAACGAATATTTTTTGAAAAATTTTTATACAAATTTTGAAAATAACAGTTGACAGTTAAAACAATTGACAGGCCAGACATGTCTCAAATTATTGAAGCTGTGTCTAATGAACTGTGTTGCCATGGTGATGTGTTCAAGAAATCGTGTTGCCATGATAATGTGTTTAATATTTTGAATAAATCACAGATCGTTAATCCGTGATTAATCGATCATTTAACGTGGTACATATCCGCGTACGCTAAATGCCATTTCAGTTATGTGAGTAGAAAAAAGTACTTTTCGTACACAAACATTCACGCTCCGTCCGCTGTTACTATGAAACGACACGTTGCGAGAGCGTCGATGTAGTTGACAGCTGTCAACTGTCATTTGCTGTTTTTAATTAATTATTCACGAAATCCGATTGATTCAACGGTGGTTTGTGAATATGAGTGTTTGAGGTCGATGACAAAAATTCAATATGCACCTCTGCGAAAAACTGTCTATTGCCTGAATGCCAGCTTCTATAAGGCTTCGGCTATCAATTTTCAGACTCGACTATAATAGATAGTTTTTCGTTCTTGGTTTATCATGTAATGAAAAAGTCGACTTGAACTGAGAAATCCAATTTTTTGTTTGTTCCAGTTTTCCCATTTCCTTGCAAGATGTGCCCAAGGAAGTACAGATATCATTCTTCGCTTTACAATCACGTGAAATTCGAGTGCGGCAAAGAGCCCAAGTTTTTGTGCAAATTTTGTCCTTTCAGAGCTAAGCGAAAACACACCTTGGAGAATCACGAAAGGAAAGTTCATCACGTCGATGCAATCTAGCCAAATCCTAAGTGTGAGAGTGTTCCTATAGCCCTCTAGCCTACACAGTGAGAAATTTTCTGGTGTAATTTCAATCGAGTGGATTTCCGAAATAACTCCAATTGAATCAACACTTGATTAGCGATATTGAATCAATATTATTAAAAATTTGATAATACTGTGTACAGTGGTGTCAATTCACACCTTCATAGTGAAACATCACACGGATGTGGTAATTTTGAGGGCTTCTGAAATATCCCTTCAAAAGAAACACCAAAAGGCGAAAAAAGGATGAAAAGTTATCACTTTCGATAGTGGTATTATCCAAGTAAACGCAAAAAATACACTTATTATATGAAATGAACTCCTAGTTACTCCCTGACCAATCACGAATAAATCAAAACTGTGAATGAGTCATGAGATTTGGGGCTAATATAGTTCACTCATCGTCTTTCATTCTCCCATGTGCATGAATTATGTTGCTGATGTTGAAATTACACCCTGAAAAACCTAAACTCATCGAAGAATGGATAAAGATTGTGTAGGAATCTGTTCTCATTAAATATCAGTAAATAGTTAATCAAAAGTTGAGATAGGGATATTTGAGCTGTTTTGACCAAAAATGAATAGTTTCGACATAAAAAAATCCTGAAGTTGAAAATTTCGATTTTGAACATACTATATTCCTGTGATCATTTTCGATAGACCCCAAGTGTGATGTATCGATGAAATCAGCTCTTCAGAAAGTTTCGAAAAATGCGATATAATACAGGGTGTTCCATTTGAAATATCAATGTTGCTACTACTTTCTAGTAAAAGCGGCAATGCATTGTCGAAACATATTTTAAATGAAGAGAACGTATTCTGAAATATAGGCATGCACATTTTCATGGATTTCTTCTGACTGATTCTTGATGTAAAAATTGTGGAAGCCCGTCGTGACATCCCCTGTATAACTACTAAATAATGCTCGGTATACTGTATAGGTACCTGTTCACCTATATTAATGACATTTCCAACCTACCACTATGAGAATTTCATCATCGTTTATCTTCGGCACATTGATGAACAACTGAGCAAAGTGTTCTCTATAAAGCTAATAGTGAGGGATTATTGAAAAATTTTCTTCAATCTTCTGATATCTATTTTTTGTTTCTCAAGATCAGAGTTCATACATCAGCATAGTTCTCCTATACATTTCAATTGTCATATCAATACTGAACATATTGGTAAGTGGTATATTTATACATATTGTAATACATCATATCATTTTATCCGATTTGAGAGATGATGTCACTCTTTTGATTTTTCATACTCTCTTTTCGGATGTTCGACAGTAACTGGCAAAAAGCCAGGAAAGTAGTTGTTTCCTGTTGAATATTCAGAATGATATCATGATTTGGTTTTTAATTTCTTATTTCCATCACATAGAGAATGCGAATTCCCAATGTATTTCTTTATATATATATTATATTGCCATTTTTTTTATATTCATAATTATCTCTGACAATTTTCTCTTCTGATATTTATGATCTGTTTGATGTCTTCATCTCCATTTCATTAAATTTATGATATATGTTGTTTTTTGCAGGTTCTGGCATATTGTTGCGATGTCCTGGTTGTTCAAAACACTATAAAACAAAAAATTCGCTGTCAGTGCATCAGTCCAGGGATTGTAAATACAAATCAATGTTCATGTGCTTGGAATGTAGAAGAACATTCAGACGGAAGGAAAATGTCAGGCATCATCTTTTTATCAACAAGGATTGCAATAAAGGGGGATCTGCTTTGAATTTCGTCAGAATTAAAGATCCAGAAATGATTAAACAAACTCACATGACTCCAAAGGTACAATGAGGAAGTTTTTCAGTTGTTGGGTTTCGAGCTAATATTTTCAGAATCGATTAGTTAGTAGTTATATGTTCATGGTAATCGCAAACCCATTCACCATAGATTAGCAAACCCATAAGTTATTATGTACAGTTGATAATAAAATAATTTAAATGTTGAGAAACGGATTCCTATTTTGTTCATTTGGAAATATATAGTAATTCCGTAAGAAGTTCATCTTTTCAAGACTATAAACAATTTCCTTCTTTCGATGTGAATATGTTTAAGCTTCAATTGCCTCACATTGTTTTACATAGAACAATAAGATAGATAATCTTACAACGTTGATAGTGTTGAATAGAAAATCAACCGTACAATATACACAGGCTGATTATCGCAAATATTGAAATGATTTCCTCTTTTTAAATGGGTATACCTATACAGTGTGTCCCACTTACCATGCTCACCATGGGTATCTTTTCAACGATGAGAGATACGAGGTCGGTTGAATGACACCAAATGTGGAGTTTGTCAAAGCCAACTATAATGTGAAAAAATATTTTGATGAAATCTATTTGTTTTTGTTTTATACGCAAAAAACAGATTTTGATCATTTTCATGTCTCCTCCGTAACTTCTTATAACGTTGTTTGCTTAGTCCCTGAAAAGGGGGCACTAAAAACAATGGGTATTTACTTATGTGAATAATAAAACTCAGGGGGTGGGTGTAAAAGTACAATATTCCTTTATTGTTGGTTGAGGTTGGTTCACTTCATATGGTGGTAAGTGGTGGTTAGTAAATGAGCTATACCAGTTCCAGAATCAAAACGTCACTTTTCCCATGTTAATCTCCATAAGAAAAGTTAAGGTTCATTCTGCAATTTTTGGTTCCTTTCAAGGTCATCCAACGAGCGACGCGAGAGATCCGTTCTAGAGATAACGGCGCGCATTTTATTCCATTTTTCACTTAACAACGGCTATATACAGGGTGTTTGAGTTGGGTAATAGTTTGGAAAAAAATATAGGGTGAACCCAAAAGGCGTTATACCTCCTCGACGAGTAGACTACCAGCATATAGGCTACCCGCTAGCTAATGATATATACAGAGCGTTTGAGATGGATAACAGTCAAAAAATATACAGGGCGACCTACCCACTTTTGAGGGATTAGGCAGCTGACGTGTGACAGATGACAAAGGATTGATGACACGTGACTAGGTGACCAGTAAGTAGGCTACCTAATAATTCGATATACAGGGTGTTTATTAGCTGAAAAAAAAAAATATACTGGGTGATCCGCAGTAATACTTTAAGGTATCAGAGGGTTGAAGAGGGGGTGCAGGTACTCTAAGAGAAGGATTTTTCGCGAGCATTCCAATAATGGTTCGTCCATATGCAAAGTCTCAAAGTTTATGAGATATCATTTGAAATGTGTGTAGGGAAACGTTCAGTTAGGTATGTGATGGAAATAATTGATGCTGAGGTCAGATTTCATTAGCCATGAAATATGTCGAACAACTCTTTATCAAAACTCGTTCAATAACATGATATATCCTGGTCTGAGTTAGCAATAGCGATAAGAAATAATAGGGCGTCTCACGGGGGTAGCGAACATACGTATGATATAGTATCCGTTCGATATACAGCAATAATAGCAATACAAACTTATATAGGGCACTCGTGGCAAGAAGTTAAAGGTGAACTCAGCAAAAGTGTGACAGATGACGCTATTTGACGATTCCGATCATTATACAGGGGTGTTTGGATAGCAATAAGAATATATACAAGAAGGCAAGAACTGACAGGCGGACCCTGCGAACATATTAACGTATGACAGATGACTCGCTAGAGTCCGTTGAATATACAGGGCTTTCAAATAGTAATACAAACTTGTATAGGGCAGATCAATTAAATTCAATTGGATTAAAGGAACTTACTCAGTCCGAAATGGCTTTATTTCTGAGATACAGGGTGGTAAAGTTGTAGAATGAAAATCGAATTATTCAGACATTCAACAACTAAAGTATGATAGATGACATTTATACTATTCGACAGATGAGATGTATGACACGTAACCTTCCAGCGCTTATCGAAAACAGATATCCAGGTTTAGCACAACTTATGAATTTTATGAAAGCGAAAGAGTTAATTTTTCCCTAGATTCTACGGAAATTACAAGTTACGTCCCATAAGTGACTGCGTAAAACAAAACAGAGTTTTCCCCAGATCTACGTACTTTTTCGCGAATATCATTATATACAAAGCGATTAGAAAAACCTAAGTCAACTGAAAAAACATATACAGGATGAGCCAAATAAGTGGAGTGGAATATATATTCAAGAAACATATACAGAATGAGTCACAAATCTCGAGTCGAATGAATTATTTGAAAAACATATACAGGGGGTAGAAAAAATTCAAAATTTATTACCACTCATTCAAATAATAATGAAAAACAAACTATCGAACTACCATGAACCCAATCACGATGTAATTCAATCAAATGGATGATAGATGACATGACAGCAGATGACCGAGGCAGATAACAAACGATCGAATAGCAGTTTCTATATACAGAAACATAGCCAGAGTCTTGAAATTCTCTATACTTATAATGATAATATTAGACATCAGGCGAACTCAGCATACCTATACCCAGTAAAAACATCCTTTTACCGTCCACGTCGAAATATGTCGAACAACTCTTTAGCAAAACTCGTTTTTCTTATGGAAGTATTCAGATGTATTCAGAGGTCTTCAGATCATACCTTCAGAAGTATTCAGATGTATTCAGAGGTCTTCAGAGGTATTCAAAAGTATTCAGATGTATTCAGAGGTCTTCAGAGGTATTCAAGAGTATTCCGAAGATATTCAGAAGCACGAAGTTCGAGCTACCCCGTATGCAAACAGGAAAAAATAGGATATAAATACCTGAACAGCGAAGAAATTCACCATTTTCAGACACTTTTCACTGAAACTATGCACATGACACTGAACAGAGTATAGTCCGACACTTGGGAAAAACCCCAGCTCCTAACAGGTAGTGTTGAAAATCGAACTAATGAATAGAAATGAAGAATGATTGATTCAACAAAAAATATAACCAATCACCCCTCATTTGTCCATGCAAAAAATTCGAAAATAAATAGGCGATAACTTCATAAACATATTCCTTATATCAAACTGAATGAACTGGAATGAAAGAAGAATGATTCTACCAATGCCAGCCGATAACGATTTCCTGTTTACTGCGATATAATTATTATATCCGAAAAACATTATCATAGGAAATTATTGAAGTAAAATAATATATTATATTTATCCCATATCACAGCCATGATCTTATAATTCAGAATTGGAGTTTATCACTATAACGTGATAGAAAAATTCAGAACTCAAAGGCCTCTCGGATAGAAATAATAGGGAAAATATAGGACAAAAATGGAACGTTACCTCTCATACAAAAATGTTATTATTCGGAATGATTTATTTTACGTGGATATACATTCTTTGAAAGGAGAAACATGTGAAATTCAATCGACGATTCATATGAACAAAGAAACAAATATACAGAGTGGATCATTTAAGAAAATTTCCATACAGCAATTGACATTAGGCAGAACCTAACACATAGTAGGTATATACAAGGTACATCAAAATATCCAACACTTATACACAACACTGCCTTGTCTGCGATATTGGAATACAATATCCATATGTGATAGATCATGTTTGTAGACACTCACATAGTAACTAGGACATATTATTATTACTAGGCAAAGTGGCGGATGAATCAAAATACCTAACACACGTACACAGTTCCGCGGACTTAATTGACTACGATATCAGAAATCAATATAGTTATCAATGGTTGATCACTCAAAGCTATATTATCAAATATTCAATTTAATTAATATTCCTATAATATAAACGTCGTACTATTTTCTGTGAATAACACAGAGCACGCTAAGTGAATATTACAATATACAAAGTTCCAATGATTATGAGATATCAATAAAATGAATGAAAAATATAAAAATAGCCAGTATAGTGCTTCCTTAAAATACTGAATACTAAGAACAATAGGCGTCATACGATAAATGCGTGAATAGAATACTATACTCTTTCTACGACATCAGATAACTCCAGATACTGCGAAGACACCTCAACGATAATACCTATTTGCAAAGTCTGAAGATCTCAGAGATAATACACAGAAAATTCTAATAATCGTTACTCCCAAGCAGAACGTGAACATCGCATGATATGTCAACTATTAAAAAAAATTGATCAACAAGAATATAAAATGATGGAAACAAACCATTCTTTTTACTTGAGATATAACAAACACGATATCCATCATGCAAAATTTTCGGACAAAAAATTATTATACCTACACCTATTAATAACAATAAAGAGTATTCCAAGCGGAGATCACAATATACAAAGTTTCAACGATTGTTATATATCAACAAAATGAATGGAAAATGAGCAGAACAACCGGCGTGAATAGCCTATATTTTTACGTTATCCTTCATCAACCTTGAATAAGGCTTTATCAATAATACTAACGATAGATACGTGAAAAACAAATCTGTACTAAGAACAGTGAATGTCATTAAGAAGATGTGCGAATAAAATACTGTACTTTTTCTACGACAACTGATGTCATACCAGGCTTACAATACCTAGCTCTTTCAATAACAATGAGTACTCTGAAAGAAGACCACGCATACATTTCAATAGGGCAAAATCTCAAAGTTCTCAGGAACAGAATCGAAATAATATTTCAGGAGCATTGTCCAAATGGTCGACGTTGAAAATAACGTAAGATAGATGAACTTGCTAGAGATATCATGTGAAACCTCGACCGAGTTCCAAGATCTCCAAGTGTTCAATACCTTACCTCCTCCGTCCATCCTCCCTATAGGCATGCGCGATTTTCTTCAACCATCATAGGAGCTCTCATTCGTACGATCCAAGAGATGAAAACCTAATAATCTGACACCTATTGTGGCACCAAAAAATT